CTAATATGACAAGATGTGCCAGGCTCATCTTGTATTTTTCCTGCCCCAGCCTTTTCTCCAAGGAGCCTTGGTTCTTTTTTTTTGGAGAAATGTTTTAGAAAATACTACCTTGATGTTAGGTGTGCTCCTTGCTGCTAAGGGGTCTGCTGTAGTATTGTAAAGCAAAAATAAAACCTGGCATTATGCCACTTAACCCTTAAAACTTATATGAGGGGCTGGGGATGTGGCTCAAGCTGTAGCGCGCTCGCCTGGCATGTGTGCGGCCCGGGGTTCGATCCTCAGCACCACGTACAAAGATGTTGTGTCCCCCGATAACTAAAAAATAAATATATAAAAAAAAATTCTCTCTCTCTCTCTTAAAAAAAATAAAAAAAAACTTATATGAATCTCTATAAGGATATTTTCTTCAGAAACAAACTGCCAGAATGCTTATTTTAATATTCTGTGGCTGCTATAAGAAATTACCATAAACTGGATGACAGAGATGGAGTGTTTTGTCTGACATGCAACTGCTTACAATAAGGGGGCAAGGGTGCAGGGAAGAATAGAGTTACTTTAGATCAGCTGGAGGGGAATGAAGGGAGGGGAGGGGCTGTGGGAGTAGGAAGGATGGTAGAATAAATCAGATATTATTACCGTATGTACATATATGACTATATGACCAGTGGGATTCTACATATACAATGAGAAAAATAAGAAATTATACTTCATTTATGTATGATGTATCATAGCAGACACAGCATTCTACTGTCATGTATAACTAATTAAAAACAAAAAAACCAACTAAATTATAGCAATGTAGCTAGGTGCGGTAGCACACACTTGTAAACCCAGTAACTCAAAGGACTGAGGCAGGAGGATTGAAGGCAGCCAGTCTCAGCAATTTAGCAAGACCCTATTTCAAAACAAAAAGGGATGCAGCTCAGTGGTAAGTGCCTCTGGGTTCAATCCCCAGTACCAAAACCAAACCAGCCAACCAATATGTATTCCCTCAGGGTCCTGAAGACTAGAAGTCTGAAATTAGACAATGATCAGTACCCAATTCCCTCAGGAAAATCTATACCTTGCCTTTTCCAGCATCTGGTGCTTGAGATTCTTTGGCTTGTGTCCACATCACTATAATCTGCCTTCAGGAATCACATTGCCTCCTCTCTTCTGTGTCTTCTGTCAAATCTCCTGCCTCACTTTTTCTTTTTGTATGGGGATTGAACCCAGGGGGTATTTTACCACTGAGCCACATTATATAAACTGATTTATATTTATGAGACAGAGTCTAAATTGCTTAGGGCCTTGCTAAATTGCTGAGGGTGAACTCAAACTTGTAATCTTTCTGCTTCAGTCTCCTGAGCCCCTGGGATCACAGATGTGCATTATGACACCTGGCCTGCCTCATTCTTTAGGAGTTGATGGACTTTATTTTATTCATTTATTTATATGTGGTGCCAAGGATTGAACCCAGTGCCTCACACATGCTATGCAAGTGCTCTACCACTGAGCCACAACCCCAGCCCCTGCCTCTTATAAGGATACTTGTCATTATTGGATTTGGGGTCCACCCAGATAATCCAGGATAACCTCTTCCTCTCAAAATCCTTAATCTCATCTTCTGCCATATGAGGTAATAGTCACTGTTTTGCCATATAAAGTAACAGGTACAGTTTTCTGGAATTAGGACATGTTGCAAGGGGTGCTAGTAATAATCACTCAGGCAGATTGTCTTTAAATGCAAGTGTATATTTGGTCACACCAATCATCAAATATAAACAATTAATGCAAAAGTTTTGGGTGTGCAGGAGCTTCCCAACTACCATTGAATGCACACTAATTAAACACTATAAGCAAATCACACAATCCTAGGGCAACCACGAGCCCCAAAATACCTACGATGCCACACAACTTCTCTTAGCCAAAGAGCAGACATTGTCCTTGTCTGGTGGTTTTCTCTAGCTGATGGCTGGAGTCAGTCCGCGAACGGACAGCAAGGCTGGCGGCCAGTCTCACTGATGTCCTTGGAACAAAACTCTTCAATGTGTCAGGACCAGCAATTTAAATACAGTTCCAAGTTGGTGATTGGTTACACCAAGTGAAAATCAATGTCCATTGGTTATGTCCAATGAGGTGATATAATTGCAACTGGGTATGTTATTTGTGCATGTCCATGGAGCTGGGCTCCCTATCAATTGTAAATAGTCATTGCTAAGCATGTCTATGGCTAGTGCCCCATACAGCTCTTTATCAATTTTGCAAGCAGACATGACTAAACAGTTCAATGGCTACTGTTCCTTATGGCCAGCAACTTAGTGAATCTCAGCATGACTATGGCAGATGCTCCTTAGAGGACATGTATGTATTTTGGAGGCTGCCATTCAGCTCATAACTAACAAAATTAATAGTGGTCATTTTTATTTATTTTTTGAGAATGGGGACTAGCTACATTGCCCACCCTGGCCCAATTTCTGGGCTGAACAGATCCTACTGCTTCAGCCTTCTGAGTAGCTGTATTTCTTTCTTAAAAATACCATTATTAATGGGCTGGGAAGTATAGCTCAGTTGGTAGAGTGCTTGCCTTGCATGCACAAGGCCCTGGGTTTAATCCCAGTACCCCCACAAAAATATTAATATTTAGAACAGGATAGAATTTGGGTTCAATCTATCACTTGGATATACTACTTATTTCTCTATATTGCAATATATCAAGCCCCAATTTCCCTCCCATTATCTCATTTATACAAATAGTAGTTTCTTTTTTTTTTAAGGGGGGGGAGAGAGAGAGAGAATTTTTTAATATTTTTTAGTTATTGATGGACACAACAAACATCTTTGTTTGTATGTGGTGCTGAGGATCGAACCCGGGCCGCATGCATGCCAGGCGAAATAGTAGTTTCTTAACATCACTTATGTTCTTAATGTCCCCAGACCAAATTCAGATTTCTCTATTGTCTCAAAAATCGTTTTTTAGTTTGAATCAGGATACAAACAATGTGCATGCATTGTATATGCATTGTATTTGATTACCTATCCTTTTTTTTTTTTGGTACTAGAGAGCTAATTCAGGGGCCTTTACTACTAAGCCACCCTATCACTTTTTAAGGAGACAAGGTCCCCCTAAATTGCCCAGGCTGGCCTCTTACTTGCAATCCACCTGACTCAGAGTCTCTTGGATTACAGGTGTGTGCCATCACATTCATTTGGTTGTATCTCTTAATCCCCACCACCACCAGTACCCTTTTAAAATTTTTTATTTGTATATTTTTGGGTACCTGGGATTGAAGCCAGGGGTCCTTAACCACAGAGCCACATCCTCAGCCTTTTTTATTTTTTGGTACCAGGGATTGAACTCAGGGGCACTCAACCACTGAGACATCTCCAGCCTATTTTGTATTTTATTTAGAGACAGGGTCTCACTGAATTGTTTAGTGCTTTGCCATTGCTGAGGCTGGCTTCGGACTCAAGATCCTCCTGTCTCAGCCTCCATTTAAAAAAGTTTCTTTTTATAGTTGTAGGTGGACAGAATGCCTTTATTTGTTTATTTTTGTGTGGTGCTGAGGATTGAACCCAGTGCCTCAACACATGCTAGGCAAGTGCTCTGCCACTGAGCTACAGCCCAGCCCAGAGTTTATTTTATTTTGAGACAGGGTCTAGCTATATTGCCAGGCTTTTTTCAAACTTGAGATCCTCCTGCCTCAGTCTTTCAAGTAGCTGGAATTTCAGGATGTTCAACTGAACTGGATCCATCTCTCTCCTCTTTTTTGAAGAAAGAAGTTGTTCATCCTATACATTGGCCCAAATTCTGTGTATTTGTCTGATCACTTTCTTGTAGTGTTAGTCAACTGTCTCTGTTTCTTGAAAACTGGAAGCTAGAGCCAAAGCTTGATTAGATTAAGTTTTGGCTGTTTTACTTCAAAATATACACTGTGCTTCATAAATATCCTGGGCATGGTGGTGCATGCCTGTAATCCCAGGAGCTCAGAAGGCTGAGGCCAGAGAATCTGAAGTTTGAAGTCAGCCTCAGCAGTTAAGCAAGGTCCTAAGCAGCTTAGCGAGACGCTCTCTCAAAATAAAAAATAAAAAGGACTGAGGATGTGGCTCAGTGGCTAAGGACCGCTGGGTTCAATATGTACATATCCTGCTGTGCAAATCTAATTGCAACACATTAGGTGACACAATGTTTCTGTTTCATGATCTAAGAATGATTAGTATATACAGAAGATGGCAAACATCCTTCTGGTATAAAATTCCTCCACCAATCATCTAGTAATTTAGTAGCCACCCATGACTATTTCCTAAGTTAATTATTTATTGAGCATCCTTGTCCCGGTCCAGATTATTTTCCTCAGGGTAATTTCATCATTGATTGTCCTCTTTGTTTTTATAGCTGATTGTTTAGAAAAGATCCTTTCACTGATAGAGTGCTTGCACAGTATGTGTAAGGCCCTGAGTTCAATCCCTAGCACAGAGGTGGGGGGCCAAGGATCCTGGAGGAATTCTTTTACCCTCCAGATCTCTGTATCCCTTCAAATTCATCAGATCCTGGGACATCAGAGACAGGAGGCATGATCTGTCTTTCCTGGGGAGACAATGAGATAATGAAGGGAGTCAATATTCCTAAAGTTCACACTTGAAGCTCATCTAACAGGTGGTTACAGTTTTGTCTGTTGTGTAGGTTGGGTTTAGGGAAAGTGAATTGGAGGGAAGCAGAGTGAGCTCTTTATGGAACTCAAATTGAAAGGCTTTTAGTGGAAATTCTTTGACAGGGTTTGGGCCCTTTGATTTCAGAAGAGCAAAATGAGGCACGGCCAAAGAGTCCACATGGTTTAAGTGGAATCAGAGTAGAAAGGGAAAGTCCTGGATTCCCACAACGGAGCCTTCAGCTTCTGGACTACCTCTCCCAGAATTCCGCTCGCCGGAAGGGACTGCGCGTGCGCAAGGCCGGTGCCAGCCCTTCCCCACAGACCTCGTAAGGCCCGAGATTCCGCGCGCCTGCTCCTCGTCCGACCCCGCCCGCCCCTTCCAGGCCCTCGATCTGTCCGCTGGGGGCGCGCTCAGTGCGTGGCAGGCGACAGCGGCATCGGCTACTGAGCGCGCGGGTCGCGTGGCGGTGCGTGGTTGCTAGGGGCGCCTGAGGTCGTCTGCTCGCCCAGCAGGCGGAGGGAAGGAAGCAGCACGGAGACGACGCGAAGCCAGGCAAGGGGTTCTCAAGGTGAGTGTGGCTGCGGAGCCGGGGACCGACCCCAGACCCTCCGCCGGCCCGACGCTTCCGCCCCTCCCTCTTCCCGGGTCCTCCAACGTGGTTCCCTAGCCCTCCGGCTGCTCCCGCCCGGTCCCGCTTCCGGCTCACCTCCTTTCCGTCCTTTCATGGGCGAGGGGGCCGCGGCCTCCTCCTCGGCCTCGTTGGAGCCTTTCTCCGCGCGGCCACGCCGGTGAACTTGTATGGCTTCGGCTGTGGGTAGCCGAACCCTACAGCACCCCCCGGGTCCCGGCCCCCGTGCCGCCTTTTTCCCGCCGCGCTGCGGTTTAAATTCCCCTTGTCTAGGTGGGAGCCCAAGCTCTTCCCGGGGTTCAGGGCCGAATTTAACGTAGGTACCTACTTTTAAACTCTACGGGATCTGAGAGCTTGTGGAACTTTTCATTTTTCCATCTAGTTCGTCTTTTAGTCATTGATAACCAACTTTTAAAACATCGACAAATGTTTAGTGAGCCAGGCTACTGTGGAAGGAACTGGGAGAATATAGAGGCGTATAAGACAGCATGTTTCTATGGAACTTAGTAGTGGAGGGGAGATTTTTAATCATGTAAACAAGCATTTTCCATACTATGGTGTGTGCTGTGGTAGAACAGAAGAGAAGCATTCAAACTAGACTTGCTTGGGAAGGTACATTATCCCTGTTCCCCCTGGTCTTCCTATTCCCATTCTGGATCTAGGAAATGCTTAATCTGTCCTTTATGGGGGTCATTTTAGATACTCCAAATCATGTCTTCTTAATTTAAGCACCTGTTGATTTAGCCAATCATCAGGCGTCTGGTGGAGCCTTTGGGAGAATGATCCATCCCATCCTTTCACTTCTTGCAATCAATACCGAGACCCTGTTTTCATAAAAATCACCCCAATTGTGCCCAGAAAGTTACCAGCTCTTACGGATTGGACAAAACCTATCCTTGAAAAGTTATCAAGTGTTTTCTGGGAATAAAAGGATGGGAAGACATTTCAGATAATAAATTGGTTTAGGAAGATTCAGCAAGGCTTGAAAAACGCACAAACCTGAATCAGTTTGACAGACATCCTGTGACAGATAGGAAGAGGAAAGTTAACTGGAGTTAAACCATAAAAGGCCTTGGATATTTTGCTGGATTAGAACTATATCCTCCAGAGCGGAGGTTTTCAAGTTGGGTTATCAGGGACCCAGACTTCCCAGGGATATTCCTGCATGTACAGCTTTAGATGAGTAAATTCCCAGACTTGCAGCTTTCAAATGAAGTCTTTTCTTAAACTGCACTTAAAGAGGGACAAGGGGGCTTGTACTTCACACTTCCAGTATTTTATCCTCCTCAGAAGCCAAGTAGGAATACTTTGGAAATGCTGATTTCAGGAAAGCCTTCTTTAGTGATTAAGTTGCCTTCTAAATGCAGATGGCTTCTTGCCTTTGCCTGTCTAGTACACATTGCTTTTCAAATGAAACTTGTTGCTTGTTGGCATGTTCTACATTCAAAAGAGTACAACAGTAAACAGCTGGACTGTGTTATGGGATCATGGGTTTTTAAAGCTATATTGGATAATTTTAGATTTCTCTTAGTGTGCTATTGAGCAAGATAGTAAAAACCAATTTTATCAAATCAAGTGATGAAATCTCTATTCTTTTATTATTACTTTTATTTATTCTACTTAGTTGTGCATGACAGCAGAATGCATTTCAATTCATCATATATAAATGGAGCGCAACAATGAAATATATTTTGATTATAGTTCTTGAACTGGGGATGCTGCTTAGTTGTAGAGCACTTGCCTAGCGTGCATGAGGCACTGGGCTTGATCCCCAACACTGAAAAAATAATCACAATTCTTAACATTTTTTTAAAAAGTTTTTTTGGTTGTAGATGGACAAAAACTTTATGCCATTTATTCATTTATGTGATGCTGAGGATCAAACTCAGTTTCTCACACGTGCCAGGCAAGTACTCCACCACTGAGCTACAACCACAGTCCCAAACATTTATTTTTATGAAATGTTTAATGTTTGCTATCTCCTCCTAACAAAAAAGTAAATTTTAAATTTGTGATGAAAAATTTTAAGATGTTAGTGGTGGGGATGTAGCTCAGTGGTAGCATGCACAGGCTCTGGGTCTGATGCTTGGCACCAAAAAAAAATTTTTTTTTCTTTCTTTTTAAAATTTTTTGGTATGCGGGATTGAACCCAGGGGCGCTTAACTACTGAGCCACATACCCAGTCCTTTTGTTTTTTATTTTGAGACAGGGTGTCAGTAATTTTCTTAGGACCTCACTAAATTTCTGAGGCTGATTTTGAACTTGTACCTGTCTCAGTCTCCGGAGCCACTGGGAGTACAGGTGAGCTCCACTATGTGCAGCTTTTCTTTCTTTAGTTGTCAACTTGAAGAATACATGGTTTAACAAATTATTTTGGGGATATGTGAGTAAAATCATTTGAAGACTGTTCCAGGAAAAACATGAAAAGATAATAGCAGGGAAATAACAACAGATTTGTGCCTGAGGTTCTGTAGAGCTAGTGTGTATGTTGACTAGGAAGGATTTTAGAATGGAGCCAATGAGAAAATTATTATAGTGATTGAGGCTGGAGAAAATGAATGTTGCTATAGTGGGAATGGAGAGGTTTAAGAGAGATGTTAAATCTGTTAGAATTGACAAACCTGGTAAGAGTACATGTAAGGAGAGTGGGACAAGGAGTGGCATGGAATGCTCTAAGTTTCTGACTTTAGGGACCATGTGGGTGGTGATGCTAAAGGAACTATTGAAGGAGGAGCAGCTTTTTGGGGGAGTGGTACCAGGGATTGAACTCAGAGGCATTCACTCTCTGAGCCACATCCCCAGCCCTCCTCCTTTTTTTTTTAAATATTTTTTAGTTGTAATTGGAGACAATTCCTTTTATTTAGTTTATTTACTTTTATGTGGTGCTGAGGATCGAACCTAGGGCCTCACATGTGCTAGGTGAGCACTCTACCGCTGAGCCATAATCCCAGCCCCCCAGCCTTATTTTGTATTTTATTTAGAGACAGGGTCTCACTGAGTTGCTTAGCGCCTTGCTACTGAGACTGGCTTTGAACTCAAAATCCTCCTGTTTTAACCTGTTAGCCACTAGTATTACAGGCGTGCGACACTGTGCCTGGCTGGAGGAGCAGCTCTGTGGGGAAAGATAAAGGAGTTATATTTTGGATCTGCTGAATTTAAGTCCTGTAACACATCTAGGTAGAAAGGCCCAGGAAGACATTCTGTAAGTCTGGAGCTCGTGACAGAGGTTTGGGTGATGACAGTGAGTTGAGAATGTAGAGCTAGAGTCCTGGGATGGAAGATATTGCTGTGGGAGAATAATTGCCGCTGTTGAGTGTTTCCTGTGTACCAGGCAAAGTGAGAAAACTGAGTTCAGGGGAAAAACCAACATTGAAAGAGTGGGTGAAGGAACAGGAGACAGAAGACATAATTGAACACAGAAATGAATATGAATGGAAGGCTGGAGAACTAGTCATTTGCTGAAAAACTAGATGAAACCTTAACTTCAGAATCTCTTTGATACTCATGATCTGGATTTAGGTTTAGCATTTCATTATATGACCTTGGAATTATCTGATCATAGACTGCCTGGATTTTAATATGGGACGTGTACCTTGGTCTGCCAGTGAAGTGCAGATAAAAGGTCTTTCTTTAATGTCCTGAACTTCTCAACCTCTCTTCTGGAAGAACTGGGAACAAATACTGACAATGCTAATTCTCTTAGGCCCCCAAATACCTAGAAGCTTGTACTTCAGAACCCTCATGGATGTCCTGGACAGGCAGTGTTGCTCTAGACAGGAGTTCCCAGGCCTTTTCAACTCAAGACTATTCAGAAAGCTTTTTGAGATTATGTGTATGTGTGTTTATTTTAGTGTGATATATATATTTCAACTTTGTGTATGGGGGGTTGTACTGGTACTGGGAATTGAACCCAGGAACATTTTAACCGCTGAGCTACATCCCCAGCCCCTTTTATTTGTCAGTTCTTATTTTAAGACAGGGTATTGCTAAGTTGCCCAAATTCAAACTTGCAATCCTCCTGCTTCAGCCTCCCAAGTTGCTGGGATTATAGGGTTGTGCTGCTGAGGCTGGTTTATATTTCAATATTTATCATATTAGAAACTTAAGTATTAATTCATTTGGATATAATAAGCCCATTAATAGTAAGCCCATTATTAACATAAGTAGTATTTTTAACACAAGTTCTGGTTAGCACAAGTGTGTGTGATGGGGTGAACTGGGGGTTAAACCCAGGGGCATTATACCACTGAGTTATGTCCCAGTCTTTTTTATTTTGAGAAAGAGTCTTACTAAGTTGTTAAAGCTAGCCTGGCCTTATACTTGTGATCCTCCTGCCTCTTGAATCTCTGGGATTATAGGCATGTGCTACCACATCTGGCTTATAACTCACATTTTTAAAATGAAAAGTGCTATTGTTTCAAAAATATTAATGAGCAGGGGCTGGGGTTGTGGCTCAATGGTAGAGCATTTGCCTGGCACACATGGGACACTGGTTTCGATCCTCAGCACCATAAATAAATAAATAAAAATAAAGATGTGTCAATCTACAACTTAAAAAAAATAGTGAGCAGAGTAGTATTTTTACAGTGCTCTTTAATGTCAAGCATAATAGAAGACAGCAGGATTTTCATATCTGTTTCTGCATTCACTTTATTGTGACATGTGATTTGGTTGAATTTTGTGGAAAATCCAACCTCACAGAGATAGTAAGCTGGAAAAGGGAGGAGTATTTCAAGAGCCTTATCAAGGAATTGGGATATTCCTTGATACAACACAAAACAAGGGCTGATTTTTTTTTAAAGATCAGTTGTAGCATGTAATCTAAAATGTTACCAATGAATTTTTCATACTTTGTCACATTAAAATCCATCTGTTTCTTTTTCACTTTGGATCTTTATACCCACACATGACTTTGTAACATCATGTGGTTGATAGTTGGA